CCAATCTAAACCAGGGATGTCAAACTCGCATCATCACATGACGTATCATAACTTTTTTCTCCTTCGCTAACCCAGGTGTGGGCGTGGCCAGCGCGTGACGCATCTGGCCCATGGGTTGTGAGTTGGACAGCCCTTATCTAAATCATCTGAATTGCCAAATCCAATTTTGTCCAGCTTTAGAACTTATATTCTGGTGACTCTTGTTCAATTAAGTTCTGATATTTTGTTCACAGCAGCAAAATTGCTCTGTGCCTGTTTCTGTTCAGAAAGGATTCTTAGTCATTGCAATTTTTTTTAACTATTACAGCTCTTTTATTAATTCATAACATTTATAGGCCACCCATCTTATCTCAGGGTAAGTTTGATGTATTATTGATTCCATTTTCCTAATCTTAGTTCTTCATCTTGATTTCAACAATATTTTCCTTTTTTTTTAAACTCCCAAACACCCCAAAATCTGCTACACACATCTTTCCCCCCAAATAAATGGTTAGAAGGGTTCATTTTGATCCTTCTTTTATTATGGCCATTGTTCTTTTAGCTACAATTTTGTTTTGTTTTCTTTTTTTCTTTGCACAGGTGGACGTACCTATCCATATCCTGGATGGAGATTCTGCTTTAATTACCTTTCAAGGAGTAGGCTTTGATCCACAAGTTATGGGAGAAACCGCACAATTTGATAAAGTCGTATCTGCTGCAACAACTCCAGTCTCTGCCAAATTAACAGTACCTGGTCTGGTAAATCTGGGCGTTTACTTGTTCCAGTATCACACAAGAGAGTGTTTTACAGAGATTTCAGATTGCCAGTAGGAGTAAGTGAGCCACTGGCACTGGGAAAGCCATTCTTATATGATGCTGTCTTATCACAAGTAATGTCTTTTTCCCCCCTTCTTTTTACAATTAAAAAAAAAAAGGTCCTTGTTTATCTGATGAGCATCTGGGAAAGCACAGAAAGGATACAGTTTTCATGCCAAATCCATTGGTCAAGCTGGACATTGTGCAGGCTCTTACATGTTCTGCAGAAGGTCCAGTATGACCTCTTCAGTGATGAGCCAGGGATGGTAGAACATGCAGTCCAATTGAATGAAAGATGAATGCTCTGCTGATGGTATTGTTCTGTTGCCATCTGTAGGATGCCAGAAAATGTACCAGCAGGTATTTGTCTCACACATTGGAGAACACAGCCCTGTGACTCTCATCCTGTATGAATGTACTCATTGGTAACATATTGGCAGCTCCCAATAAAACCGATTTGCCATAATTTCAATATTTGTTGATCTATTAGGCAGAATTATTGTTGCGTCCACCTATAGGCAGAAAGTGGTGTTGGACTTGTATACTGAAAACGGTGATCACTTCAATCAGATTCTTTTCTTAGAAGCTAAAGATGTTACATTTAGTCTGAAAGGTGCTTTTTCAAAAGGTAACTGGACTGGGTTTTGTTTTTTTTTTCCCTTGAGGAAGAAGAAGAAGACAATTCGCTTCTCATCCAAGAAGCTTCGTCAGTTGTGATTGGATGGTAGGTGGATGGGAGGCTAGGTTCTGACAGGATGATGAGGGGAGGGATGGAAGGATTGTATTTCTTTGCAGTCCTCTGGTCGAAATACAGGCAGCCCTCGACTTACAACAGTTCATTTAGTGACCGCTCAAAGTTACAATGGCACTGAAAAAAGTGACTGATGACCATTTTTCACACTTAACGGCCGTTGCAGTATCCCCTTGATCGCGTGATCAAACTTCGGATGCTTGGCAACGGGTTCACATTGATGATGGTTGCATTATCCAGGGGGTCACGTGATCAGCTTTTGTGACCTTCCGACAAGCAAAGTCAATGGGGAAGCTAGATTCACTTAGCAATTCACTTGATTCACTCAACAGCAAAAAAAGGTTGTAAAATGGGGCAAAACTCACTTATCAAATGTTGCACTTAGCAACGTAAATTTTGGGCTCAGTGGTCATAAATTGAGGGCTACCTGAAAAATCCTTCCATTCCCCTTCCCCTCCCCCCCATCCTGTCAGAAATTATCCTTCCATCTTCTCATCATCGAGTCACAACTGATGAAGCTTCTTGGATGAGAAGTGAAACTTCTTTCTCCTCAAGGGAAAAACAACAACAATCCAGCTGCTTTTTGAAGAAGCACCTTTGAGACAACTGGATGACTGAAAATCTCCATAGACGTAAAGCTCCTAAGGTTGCTAAGATGTCCTATGGGAGATTTCAAACATAAATATCATTAAAATGAAAACAACATCAAGTTGTTTTGTCTGCAAGGAATCCATGTTGTGCCATAATGTTTGTGACTTGGATTAAATGGTTCTCATAGCAGAGCCAGAATCGCCGTGCTGTCAAGTCAGTACTGCTTATACTTATTATGGTTGAGAGTAAAAGCTTTGACAAAAGAGAAAGATTTTGCAGTAATCCTGATGCATTTGAGTCTGGCAGGCTACTAAAAAGCCATAATGAATGAACTGGAAAGTTTGGATGCATTATATATTCTTTTGAAAGTGAGTCTTCTATTTTTTTCCAAAAAATACCATGGATAGAGCAATAATAGAGTAGCAAGTCCAGGAAACAGCAGCAAGTGTGTGTATTGCCCCCCAGAATATTCTTCCATCATACATATATATATCTCCTTGCTTCCACAACATCCATACATTGCTTTCTACATTGCTTTTTGTTCTTTAAACTTCTCAATTTTTGAGAATCTCCATGCAACTATGATTCTTTGACTTTTATGTATAACTTGCAGTCATTTACTCTGTTTGTTAACTGCAATCATTTTGGTTTTTGGAACACTAATTTTAAAATACCTATATAAAAATATAAAATACCTATATTTTTGTTACATTGCTTAATCTATTTGACTCAACCATTTCTTTTTTGCCCTGTTCCAACCAATTTTCACACCCTCTTCCTATTCATTCTGTGGAAAGAGTTATCTATGTTCTAATGCATTTTCAAGGATCCATATTTTTCTCATCTTGCAGTCATTCTACTTTCTCTCTTTGTTTTTCTTCCATGTTCACTTTTAACGAATCCACTCTTAAATAAAAGTTTGTTCCACATTAAGAATATTTTCATATCCTTGTATTGTTCGCTAATTTTCTAAGTCTTTCATCATAAACATTCTAATCAGTCATGCTTTTTGATTCAGATCTTTCCAATATACTGTACTATGAGTAGACTTATGCTTAAATGACATATTTGAAATAATTATTCATTTTTGTATGTAAATATGCCCCCAGGCATAATTCTCATTTTCTCCAGTGTCTGAAGACCTAATTAATTTTTCTGTACTCTCTTGATTAATTTCTACCGATCCATTTATGTTGCCTACAGAATAATATTTTCCCTCTATCCCATTCATTCCACCTTGGCAGTATTTTATGTATGAAATGCCCCATAAATGTCTGCCATTAGCTACAGGATCTACGTACCACTGTAGATCACCTAGTTTCCTTCCACTGGCTAGGCCGAGAAAACAAAGGGATCCTTACTTATTAGGCTAGCATTTCACTCTGTTTATTTTCTTTCCAGGCAGTATATTTATCTCAGCCACGGATATGTCTTGGCAATATCCCTGTTTACAGCAAATGTAGTCGCCTTTTTTTCCTCAACAATGCTTCGGAGGATGAGGCCATCATTTTTACCTGGCACATACCAGGGATCTCTCCTACTATGGCGGTGAGTTTCATCTGCATGTTGTTTTTTTAGCTTCCTTGTCTTTCCCTAGCGATTCTGTTCCTTTCAAATTTCCTCAATGGCAATGTCAGAACACTTGCTTAATTAGCTTCAATTTTGTACGTTCAAATGTCTGAACTGGGGTTGTACCACAAATGCAAAAATCTTCAAAAGTTAATGTATTTGCTAAAGAGAGCAGGATGGCCCAATTGCAGTGTTGTATTTTGTGACTATGAAGTAATCAGTATTTTGCTACGGTGGCTATATTCAACTATTTTAACTCTTTTTTGAAGTCAGGAGGAAAAAGTCTATTTCTAGAGTAACAAACAAAGATATTTAATGTGACTGTAGTATGTTGCATGCTTTACTATATGTACTCATTCATTTATTTCATTGTTTTATATGGCCACCCAATTTACAAGACTGAGCTGAGTGAGTTACAGTTTAAAGAAACACGAAATGTCTTAAATATATAATATATAATGTAATATAATGTGATGTGGTGTAATATAACTTAAGGACATAAAAAACAAGATAATGGAATAACAATAAAATTATAATAAGAGAAGCAATTGAGGCCAACCCAACACATATCTCATTCAAGATCCTTGCATTCATGCCACAATCTTTAGAGCCTCGTGGAAGGACAGAAGGATGAGGACAGTCTGAATCTTGAAATATTGTGATATAATAATCCATTGTTTTGTTTCAAGGCATTGAAGATCATACCTCAAACTGGAATTGTGCAGGCCGGAGAGAGCACTCATTGTGTTCTTACACTGCATGCCGGTGAAAATCCATGCTTCTACAATGTGGATTTGATCTGTGAGGTGAGACATAGTGGATACCTTAGATAAAAGTTTTCTTTAACACCAAAAGCCAGGGGTTTTTGGTTGCTTATATTATTTTGGTGCCAAACAGAAAGGCCATAGTTCTAAAGAATATGAGACTGTACTGAAGTCTGTCACTGATCAGTTCATTAAAATTAATCAGTAACAAATGTAATAGAGTAATTAAGGCTGAATGGCTTTTGTCAAGGAAACATCTGCATAGAAACCTCAAGAAGATAGAAATAATGCACACTTAACACAAATTATATTTTTCCATGATGGTCAGTTGGAATGCATGATTAAACATGCATGATTTCATTTCTTCTTTCCTGTAATCCAAACATGTTGGCTTAACTATTCTGCATATAGTGATCTTGTTTTCTCTTTGGTGAGATATTTGTTTCCAGTAATTTCTACGAAGTCATAACATTAAACTAAAGCGCGACCAGAAATTACATTTCAGAAGGCACGTTAAGGGGTGACATATCTCACCAGTACAGAAGAAGAAAAGTAGCAAAAATCTCAGTTGAATAATGTTAATCTTAGGTATTTTCCCTGTAGATTTTTACTCAAAACTCATTAGATCAATATGAGAAAGAGTTGCAGGAATGGGAAATTGAAAATGCTCGCCAAGCTGTGGAGTTTACCATCACTGAGAAAGACCTGGATACAAAGAAGGACCCAAAGGAACCTTTAAAGGTAAAAACTAGCTTGCTATGAAGGGACGTCTATTGAATATCTGGATTAGAATGTATTTCTTAAAAAATTTTTTGTTATCAGTTGATTCTGTGTTTTGTGAACATACGTAAGAAGATACTAAAAAAAAAATACCTTGAGATGTTTTCAGCTTACAGGAGAGTCTGATGTAAGACTTAGCTACATCATTTAGATGCCAGGGTCATTCAGCTCCTCAGAATTAGCAACTGCTTATTCAGACATTACAATAGGTGGATTTGTAAATGATTGTAGATGCATTTGCTGACAGAGCAATTAACCAATGGAACAATTTGCCTCCTGGATGCTGCATCACTGGAGATTTTCAAGAAAAGATTGGACATTCATTTGTTTGGGATGGCATAAGGACTCATGCCTTAGACAAGGGTTGGACTAGAATATCTCTAAGGCCTCTTTTTAGTCTTGTGATTCTATATTCTATGATTCATGTTTTCCTGAATATATTTTCTAAATATACCAAGGAAACATAAGTTTAAATTAGTGTTCACATTTTAGCTACCTATTCAAGTTTTAGCTACATAAGGCCAACCAAATCCTTTGATGGAAAACCTGGAAAATCTAAGTGGCATCTTCCTTTCACTAACTTATATGAGTTATTTAGGGAACTCCCTATGGGAAACTCACTGATTCTCATTCAGTTCAGTGAAGCTTGTATAATCGTATGTATTATTATCTTAGTTCCATTTGTATTGTTTTATTATTATTTGTATTGGAAGTTCTAAGTAAAATGATAAATAAATATAAATAAAATTTGTTTTAATTATTGATTGTGTATGCCATTAACCTCATATAAATGCCTGTCAAATTACACGAAAATTAAAACACCCATGGTATGATATGGATGTGATAAAGTGTACACAATACATATAAAATATCAGTAATAAAGCATGCACAATACATTTGAAACATCAACATTTCAATTTTAAAAGGTCCATGGTCAGAAACAACCCCTTAACATAAAAATACAATGAAATTATAATGGCTGCGATGTTAAATAAGTACATTTATTTTCTATTAGCACATCTTTTTACAAGGATTTGGGAATTAACAGTAGAGGGAAGGCAAGAAACTTACAACTCCCTCACCCCCTTACTGTATACAGTAATATGTCAAACCCGGGGAATTTTCACAGTAAATCCATGGCTTGCTGTTGAGGGGGAAATCAGCAGGGGCAGGAGCGTATGCTTGACTTTTTCTCTGAAGACAATTTTGTGCTTAGAATCCATCACGGATTTTTCTCCAGTCTCATCTAGACATCCATAAGGAGAAAAGGAGCTTGGAGATTGCCCGCTTTGAGCAGAAAAATGATTGGCAGAAAGAAGGTTAAAGTTTTTTGGGGTAACTTGCTTCATTCAGGTGTATATCACATCTGTTCAAATTCTATCACTTTTTGTTACAATTATCTTCTTTTTCTTTAGGGAGCTCCAAATATGCCAGGATTATCAAAGTTTTCTAAAGTATTTACGAAGATAAGAAAATATAAGGTAATTAGTTATGTGCCTTTATGTAGATATAGTGAGATCCCTTGTTGTCAGCCTCTGCTCCAGAAACAGAGCAGGAAATGTAAATCTTCCAGGCATATTTCTTTATTGTTCTACACCTATAGGTATAATGGATATAATTAATCATGAAAGGCATAAGATCATAAGGTTAAAAGTTCATGCCATGAAAAAAAACCAAAGGATGAGATGTATATAGATGCTTATATGCAAATACTAAGAATCGGGGGAGTGTTTGATGTTAGGAAAATAACGTGGCATAAATTATGGATACAGTGGGATACAGTTATCTTTGTGACATGACCTCTGAAGAAAAGAAATGGAAGGGCATAATGGGAGAAGATCTGCTTTGTATGCAGACTGACATAAAGCAGAAGCCACAAAATGGAGCAGAATCTTCTACTGATATCCATATCAATCCTCCAAAGCTGGTTAGTACTCAGCACATACTATTGTCCCACACCAAGAGGCTAAAGCTGACCTATTGATAGAAAATGAATTAGAGAAAAAGAAACAATAAACATAATTTCCCTTCACGTAAGCATAGTTTGGGAAAACGAATGTTCTGGACAGGACTAAGAGACCAAATTTCTAGATATTCTAAATAGCTGTACACTCAAAATCTATTCAAAAGGCTAACAAGAGCAGTGTTTTGCATATTTTATTGATGCCTTATACTTTTGGGGTCAACATTTTGCAAATGTTCCTTTTTTTTTTTTTTAAAACAAGTTTTATTAATTTTTAAAACACACAAATTGTCATTATTCATTACATGTTTAAACCTTTTTTCATTGTCAATTTAACAAGTCAGATAAATTATAATTCTGTTTTAAACCATTTCCATACAACATACCAAAACCTCTTATTCAATTTCTCTTTACTTCTCTTTACTCTTATTCAATATCATTATTATTATTTCATCTGTTTCTTTCTGACTTAGTTACCATTATTCTCAATCTATATTTCTACAATTTTTAACTAATTCTCCCCCCAAAAAGACATATACACACAACACACAAAACATAAAAAAAAATCTTTTTGGAAAGTAACTTGGACCCAGGTGTCTCTCTCTTCATGGACTTCAATTATATTCATGCTCATCTTACATATCATTACTTATTTTATTTACCATTCTAGGCCTTCTATATTAACTTCCCCACATATTTCACACTTCTTACTTCTATCTTAATTAATCATCTTAATTTGAATCATTATATTTATATCTTTTGTCCATTTTTTATCATCCCTTTGTCTCATTCCTTATAAAAAAAAAGAAAATAAGTTTCTCCTGAAATCATTAATCAGAGTATGATGCCTTTCTATCTCCCCCCTAAGTTAATCAAATTAATCTTTAAAATAATATCTAATACCCAATCCGATTTTGCTTGGTACATTCTATCTAACTAATACATCCAACATAATTAAGTACATAATTAGACAATAAATCCAAATATTAAAAAAAGATACTATAATAAAAATTTTATAATAACATCAATACCATAGTCTTATTAAACTCTTTAATTAAAACAATATTCTAAACCTCCCCTATTATTAGGTTTTAAAGCCAATCATTTTTAAATATTTTAACATTTTAATCTCTTATCAACTCTTAAATCATTACAATACTACCATCTCATCTTATGTACCTTGCAAAATCTTTTTTTTTTTAAAAAAAAAATTATACTTTATCCATTATCCAAAAAAAATTTCTTTTTTTCATTTAATTTCAAAACATTGTAGCTTTTCTCCACCTTTTCCCTTTCTTTCTTCTCCCAACAAACCTTTCTACCCCCCCTTCTTCTAGCCTCTGCCTTGCCAGCTTCCCTTCTCTGTCGTATTCCTTTTCCCTTTTGTTTACTATCATCATATTGGTTTTGCACCTTATTTTTCCCTTTCTTAAATGTTTTTTTAGATCTTAAGTCCTTAAGTCCTTTAATTTTCTTCTTTTCTCTTCTTTTCTTTTCTTTCTCTCTTCCTTCTTTCTGGATCAAGTTCTGAGATTCATTAAAAATGGCTCCTTTCTTTCTTTCTTGTTCCTCTGCTGTCTTCATCTGTTGTAATGTTTGTTGATAATTAATAAGCGCCATTTCTAAGAAAAGGAAGGCTTCTTCCACACCATCTTTACCATTTTTTTTTGCTTGTTCATATTCTTTTCTTAGTTCCTCAACAGAAAGAGCCATTATAAATCTTTTCTTTTCTTTTCCCCTTCTTTCTTCTTACAACAACCAGAATATTCAAAAGAAAATAAAAAAAATAAAACAGTCCCAAAGTTATCAGTCAGTCCAAACCAAGGCAGAGTTCTCACTTTCTCCTTCTGGGGTAATATCAATCCAAGAGAAAGAAAGTCCAAATCTGTTTAAAATCTTATTGCAATATATTCTAGTCTTCAAATCCTTAAGGCATCTGCTCCAACAAAGTCTTAGCATACAAATGTTTTCTTTTTAATCCTCTCTCTTCCCACTCATCGCTTAAAACCAATTTTCACCTAAAAGAAATAGGTTTCTTAATATCCAGTTATTTATTCCGTAGGAAAAGAGGGAAAGCTATCCTTTCAGCACCTTCAAACAGCCGCTTTTTTCCTCTTCTGGCAGGTATTATTCAGAAAGTCATACTTTTCAGGAATTTTATTAGATATGTCTTAGAGTCCTAGGAGCCAAGAAAAACTTTCTCCTCTCAATCACTTTCTCCACTTCCTCCTGCGCATTCTTACCCGGCTGCCAGCTTCTTTGTGGCGGCCATTACAGACCGCCGCTGCACCGTCCTGGGAAAAGGGAGTTCTGCCGGCCAGGGAGGGAGTCTGCAGCACCCCCAAACCCTTCTCCGGATCCCCCCTACCTTCAGCTGCCCCTGCAGGGCAGCCTAGCTCCGTACCCGGCTGGGTCGGAGCCCCAAAAACGGCTAGCGCGGCAGGGATCGCGCAGCTTCGCAAATCCCTGCCGCTCGCGAAGCCGACAAACTGGAAGTTCCGCAAATGTTCCTTTTTGTTTTCATAACATTGCAACCCTGACCCGAATGCTAAGCACAGTCCAGAATTTTGCTTGAGAGATGCACTGAACCAACTGGGAATCAAAAAAATATTATCTTCAGGTGTATCTAAAAAGCCCAAGTCAATCTAGTGTGACTTCAGAAGATCAAGCTTTTTTAAAAAAATAAATAAATAAATGGATTAATGAAAAGAAGATTGAAAGCAGGAGTCAAGCAAGTCAGTCACTAAATGTTTGGCAATTTTTTCAAAGCAACAATAGTAGAATCGCAGCTACAAATGTCCAGAAAGGCTACCATAAATCTCAAAAGAATGCCAAAGTGCCTAACGAGCACGATCCAAGATACAGTTGAAGGCAAAACTCTTTCTCTAAAAAGTGGGCATCCTTCCCATGTGAGAACAAAAAGGAACATTGGAGGGTGGGGAATATAAGGCATTGATAAAATATGTAAAACACTTTGCAGAGCACACACAAAAAAAGAACATTAAGAGCAAAAAAAAATATCTTCAAAGATATTTGGACTAGGAAGCCTATCAGCTAGGACATTGGACAACAGGAACATTAAAGGAGTGCTCAAGCTGGATAGGAAGATATGGTAGCAGAGAATTTAACTTAATTGTCTGCTTTGGTCTTCATTGCTATGAAAGTACGGCAGACACCTCTGCACTAACTGACTTTGTAAGCAGGAAGATTGAACCAAGTGAAACAAACAAGAGATTAAATTATAATCCCAACTGACAATTAAAACTAAAGATAAACTTGGAGAAGACTCTACTACGAACCCTCCAGGTTTTTTGGGGTATTAATTTTGTTGAACCACAGGGTTTCTAGGTTGCAGGCTCTGCAGAATTTGATTGGGCATCCCACTTTGTCCTCAAGGATTGGAAAAGAATTGGGGTGTGAATGAGTGTGTGTGAGAGAAGGCTGCATATAATTCCTGAGCAATTCAAGGGAAAGGCTGCAAATAGGAAAGATGTATGAAATGAAATGAAATCATTAATTCCCACCTACACATTCCTTCTGTTACCTTCTCACATTTCATTCCTGAACAAGATGCTTGTATGTTCCAAGTTAAACGGGTTAGTTAGTCCCTTTCGCTGAACAGTTTGCTTTAATTTCTTCTCAACAGACTCTTCCTCCTATTAAGAACATCAGTGAGCCAAATGCCCCTGCTAGCCGTAGCCAGAGGAGGCAGATAAGGGACAAAGAGGCCAGCAGGTTCTGGCCCAAGCCTGAAGTCACCAAACCCTTCCTCATGCACCTAGGCTTTACAGCCAGGTCCCACTCAATCGATGATTTCTTGTCGAACTTCTCTAGTGACTTGCCCCAGCACTTCCTTTACCGGTAAGACACGCTATTTTCCTTGCTTTCTCCAGATGTCACCTCTCCAGTTAGAGATGTTGGATCTCTGCCGATTCTCCGTGTAGAGATGTTATGTGATGCTCTTTGTCATGTATTTATTTGTAGCTGGATGTGTAACTTATCTTATCCTAAGCCACACTTATTTGGGAATTGTTGAATATACCATAGGGGCTAGATTTCTGTGTTGGACCAAGCCGTAAGTTTACAAGACACAGTCCGGGTAGTCCTCAAGTTATGACCACAGTTGAGCCCAAAATGTATGTTGCTAAGGAAACATTTGTTAAGTGAGCTTGCCCCATGGGGGGACTGGATTCCCCATTGACGTTGCTTGTCCCCATTGACTTTGCTTGTCACATGACCCCAGGACACAGCAACCGTCATAAATATGAACCAGTTGCCAAGCATCTGAATTTGGATCACGTGACCATGCTGTAACGTTCGTAAGTGTGGAAAATAGTTGCAAGTTGTAACTTTGAACAGTCACTAAAGGAACTGTTGCAAGTCGAGGACTACCTGTAGTAGGTTTATCCGATGTACTGATCTGGCTTAGCATGTTTGATGATAGGTGAAACCACTTAGCTTTTAGCATGATGAAGTTACCTAGTTTGGTAATGAAATGCCTGCAAGAATACAACCAAGCTCAGAGAGCATCAAGGACCCCATCGAAAACCACCTAGTCCTTGCTTTAATTTTCCTTGAATTGTACTATTACAATTAAAAACTGTTTTATATATTGCTTGCCTTAATGTGGAAATATTGGAATTGGGGGGAAAATCTGATTGCCTTCCCACTCACTCCTGTGGTGTGAGAATATTTAATAAACTGAACTGAAAGACAAATCCTGCCTCCTTGTTTCTAGGCATCTTGTGGTCGTAGAAAGACTTTGGTCAAAAAAAAGTTTTCATGTTTTTTTTAAAATAGCCAACTGAAGAAGAAAACAGCAAGAAAAAATTCTGTACGTAAGACATCTCTATTCTCAGTTGCGAGCAAAAGTGGAAAAGGATCTATAAAGGATGCCATCTGGATGGATCTAGAAAACTGCACAGAACAAGAAGCCCAGCTACTGACCGACATGCTGTCTATGGTGATCAAGTAGGTGGCTTGTCTGTCAAAAGTCCTGAAATATTTGGATGGTATATATGCCCTGCCTTACTGTATATAAGCGGTATATCTTATAAATCTATAGACTGCAGGCTTAGGATATGTATCATATGTAGTATGGCCTGCTGTTTCACCAGGATGCTGAAAATAATGTAGTTTGAGTTATTCCTGTATGCTTTCAGAAGAACTCCATAAGGAAGATTAAATTAAATCAATTATGAGAAATGCAAGGCCTGATAGATTGGATTCCTTGTCCAGATCCAGTGTACTACACTGATATGAACCGCTCAGGTTCGACTTCATGCTCCATCAATCAAATTCACTGGGGGACTTTGGACCAGTCATTATCACTCAGTTCAGCCATTGTCTGGCTGGCCTACTGTATCTCTGGCAGAGTACGATTGACTCCCAGTAATTTTGCCTTCTTTTACCCCTGACACATCAACGAATCATCTTAAGGGTGTATTACCTTTTATATTACCAGGTTTTCAGGTGCTATGAACAACAATACAACCAAGCTTAATGATCCTTAAACTAAATTGCAACAGATATCCTTTTTGATATTCCAGGGGTTTGTTGGAGGAGAAACAGTTCCAAGAAGCAGTGGCTAGAAGCCTCACAGAACCCATACCTTACTTCTACCAATTCTGGAGTGAAACATCAGCAAAACAGAAAAAGAGTCCAACTGGCACCTCTCCGGAAACTCCTTGCCCAGAGATCAGTGCTAAGAATAGAACAGAGGATGAAGATTTGGGAAGGGAAACAATATCTCCCAGAGTCACTTCATTTGTTACAGAGAACCTAAGTGTCATTATTCGCAAGGAACAGTCCCGGGAAGACAAAGAATTCCTTATCAGGTGAGACAATTTGAACAGCTCTAAACTCAAAGGGCAGGCCAAATAGCTGGGTGTTCTAGGTTAATATTCCTGTAATGCAAAAGAATATCAGATTTATTGATTGATTCTATCTATAAGGCTACCGAAAAAAATATTGACCAGGGAAGCTGATGATCAGGATGCCATGTTTGTCCTGAGCTTCTAGAACAACATATCAATATGTGCAATTTGAATCACAAAAAGGATGGACTTCATACTGCGTATGGTTTACCGAGAAGCCTCCTGTTACTGTTATAGGTAAAGGAATAGGTCTGGCAAACGTGGCAATAGTGTCTTTTCAAAGCTTAGGTCCTCACAATGGCCTTAGGCATAGAGCTTCAATGTCTTAACCATTCTCTTTTTCTACTCCTGCCACCCAGAGGTTTGTTTCATAAAGCATAGTCAAAATCAGGCACGTCAAGTTCCAGCAAAAGAGTATTAGAGTAAGATTCTAAGGGATCAGAGGCAGGTATGTGATCAGAAACAAAAAGATACTCAAATTCCCAGACAAACGGTACCGAAGGACCAGGAGGAACCATATAGTCAAAGTCAGAGGTTAGGATTCAAAATATCGGTACTGGGCTGGAGAACCCAGAAGCAGAAATATGGCTAAATCCAACCAAAATTGCAATCTGGATACAATATACGATCTGAGAAGCTTTCTATAAAGGTAAAGGTCCCCTCGCACATACATGCTAGTTGTTAATGGCTCTAGGGGGTGGTGCTCATCTCCGTTTCAAAGCCAAAGAGCCTGCTCTGTCCAAAGATGTCTCCATGGTCATATGGCCGGCATGATTAACCCCAAAGGCGCATGGAAAGCTGTTACCTCCCCACCAAAGGTGGTCCCTATTTTTCTATTTGCATTTTTTATGTGCTTTTGAGGTTGGCAGAAGCTGGGACAAGTAACAGGAGCTCACCCCGTTACACAGCACTAGGGATTCGAACCACTGAACTGCCGACCTTTCACTTGACAAACTCAGCATCTTAGCCATTGAGCCACTGCATCCCCTAAGCTTTCTGTACATGTGTTTTATGTTCTGGCATTGGTACTGAAGTTTGAATGAAAGCTTAAGTCTACCAGGCTTGTTGTGAAAGTCCAGGTAGTACAGGTTACAACGGACCTCCCTGGAGGTACTTACAGTCCAGTTCCAAAATTAGGACAGCTGCCGCAAAAAAGACCGTAAAATGCTTTATGAAACAAACCTCTTGGGTGAAGGATACTTGACTGGTTAAACCTGGGCATGAGTCGATCATGCGCATGACCCGATTTACAACCATCACAACTTACAAGTCATAAGTCAAGGACTACCTGTAGTATAAGAGCTGCGGTGGTGCAGTGGTTAGAATGCAGTATTGCAGGCTAATTCAGCTCACTGCCAGGACTTCGATCCCCCCCAGTTCAAGGTTGACTCAGCCTTCCATCCTTCTGAGGTCGGTAAAATGAGGAACAAGATTGTTGGGAGCAATATGCTGACTTAGAGAAGCCCTGTAAAGTGGTGTATAAGCCTAAGTGCTATTGCTATTGTCTCCTTGCAATGTTAATCCTGGATGAAGTTTTTCAAGTCTTTCAATATAGAATATTGCCAAACAAATTGTAAACATTCTCTAGTCTTATGCACTGCCAAAGTACCTCTCATTAGTAGACAATGTTTATTTCCCCCTATCAATTTAGTTTCTCATTTTATATATAGTATTTTCTATGTAGCTGACTTTTAAGTACACCAAGGTTGGAGTTGTTTATTTTCACCACAAAAATATTATCTTGGGCGAAGGATACTTGACTGGTTAAACCTGGGCATGAGTTTGTACTATTGGCTATGGCATTATAAAAGGGGCCGTGGGCACAGTCCCGCGACAGCAAAACAGGAAACCCCAGCATCAGGGAGCATGAAGATCTGAAATGTGCTTTCTGTTAAGGATGCCCGCATTTGCAAATCTGGCTGAAATGGTGCTGGATAACACCGTCCAGAACATTCTGGTGGAGGCCAGTCGTGGGGAAGTAGTGCTGACAGCACGGCCGAGAATCATTGCACACTCTCCTGTTTTCTCCCAAAAGTGAGTAGATCAGCAGGGAGGGATAAGGGCTCCTAGCATAAAAGGACGGGTTCAAAATTAAAACGTAATCTAGCAGAGTGGACTTGATGCCTGTTTTGAGTGAGTTTAGGAATGGCTGAAACGTGTTTCTGCACAGGTTCTCTTTTGTAAGTCCGTGTAGTCCAACTACCCTGTTTCTCCAACAATACGGCCTCCCCCAATAGGAAGTCCCAGCATGTTTTATAGGCATGAAATGAAATTAAGCCCCTCCCCCCAAATTAAGGCCTATATTAAAGCATGCGAAATGGGGGGAATGGTCCCCCCACCACTTCCCTAATGGCTTGCCGTTAGGAAGTACTTTTGTTGCACACCCGGATATGGTGCTGCCTGCGTTGACCCCGATACGAAGTGCCCCACCAACGCTGAGGTCAACATCCAAGCCGTCGCCGCCCGCCCTAAGATGCAAGGGGGGGGAATTAAGTCACCCCCGAAAAGACGGCCTAGCCATTTTTTCGGGGCTCAAAAAAAAAATAAGACCCGGCCTTATTATATGAGAAACACGGTACTCCTTTGTGGTTTCTTCTTTAGCTGCCTCCTCGGCTTACAGCAGTTCATTCAGCGACTGTTCAAAGTTACAACGCCATTGAAAAAAAGTGACTTATGACCATTTTTCACAGTTGCAACCTTTGTAGCAGTCCCTATGGCCATGTGACCAAAATTCAGATGCTGGGCAACTGGTTCATTCTTATGACTGTTGCTGTGTCCCAATGCCCTTTTGCAACCAATTTGACAAGCAAGGTCAATGGGGAAGCCAGATTCACTTAACAACCGGGTTGCCAACTTATCAGTTGCAGTGATTCAGTTAACAACTGTGGTAAGAATGGTCGTAAGAGGGGGCAAAACTCACTTAACCAATGTTCCACTTAACAACATAAATGTTGGGCTCAATTGTGGTCGTAAGTTGAGGACCACCTGTATAAGGTCCAGAAGAATCCCAAGGAGTCCTTGAAAAGGATTGTGTAGAGGAAAGGAAACAATAGATCGTCCTCAATTTATAATAGTTTGTTTAGAATAGAATATAATTCTTTATTGGCCAAGTGTGATTGGACACACAAGGAATTTGTCTTGGTGCAAATGCTGTCAGTGTACATAAAAGAAAAGATACATTCGTCAAGTGTCAAGAATCATAAGGTGCAACACTTAATGATAGTCATAGGGTACAATAAGAAGAATAGAATAGAATAGAATAGAATAGAATAGAATAGAATAGAATAGAATAGAATAGAATAGAATAGAACAGAATTCTTTATTGGCCAAATGTGATTGGACACACAAGGAATTTGTCTTGGTGTAAATGCTCTCAGTGTACATAAAAGAAAAGATACATTCTTCAAGAGTCAAGAATCATAAGGTGCAACACTTAATGATAGTCATAGGGTACAATAAGAATAATAGAATAGAATAGAATACAACAGAACAGAACAGAACAGAATTCTTTATTGGCCAAATGTGATTGGACACACAAGGAATTTTGTCTTGGTGCAAATGCTCTCAGTATACATAAAAGATACATTCGTCAAGAGTCAAGATTTAGTAACTATTCTAAGTTATAATGGCACTGAAAAAAGCGACTTATGTCCATTTGTTCACAATTATGACCTTGCATCATCCCCATGGATGCGTGATCAAAATTCAGACATTTCAGACACTTCAAAATTCAGACAGCTGCAGTGTCCCCGGGGTCATGGGATCCCCTTTTGCGACCTTCTGACAAGCGAAGTCAATAGGGAAACCAGATTCACTTAACAACTATGTTACTAACTTAACACCTGCAGTGATTCACTTAACAACTGTGGCAAGAAAGGTCGTAAAAAGGGAGCAAAACTCTCTTAACAACTGTCTTGTTTAACATAAATTTTGGGCTCAATTGCGGTCGTAAATTGAGGACTACCTATAATTGGGAAGAAAGGTAAGGACCAGAGGTGGCATTCAGCAGGTTCTGACCAGTCCTGGAGAACCGGTAGCAGAAATTTTGAGTAGTTTGGAGAACCGGCAAATCCCACCTCTGACTGGAGATTTTACAGGATCCTTCCCCTGCCACGCCCACCAAGCCCCGCCCACAGAACCGGTAGTAAAAAAATTTGAATCCCACCACTGGCGAGGACCATGGATTCAGTGGGTAAGAGATGTGAGAACTAAAGAACAGTAAGGAATTGACGCATTCCTTAAGCTGAGGGAAAAATCTCGCACAACAATTCTGTGAAGGAAAGGCCCTCATCTGCCAGAGTAGTACTTCGTTTCTAGGAAAGGACTTGCCCAACCTTGTTCTTTAATGAGCGGGGATTTTATAAAATTAATTTACAATGGTTGTAAAGTTGTGAACGTCCAAAGGAATTTTTGTCTTTCAGAGGTGTCAGTCCCATAGTTTCGATGCACAGATCATCTACAATACCGGGGACTTCCAGTGAAATCAAGAACTGTGAAGGGCAGCGGCACATTGTCTTGGCCCCATAGGAGCTCGCGGAAGACTTTGGGATCACTGCACATATTCTTGGTGGGAAGACAGCCCTTTGTGATTAATATCCCTGCTGGAAGATGCCTCTGCAGAATTGGGTCCAAGGAGAAATGACATTTGCAATAGAATCTGATCTGATTTTCCTCTGTGCAAAAAACGTAATAGCAGAGGGCCTTGTCCTGAGTTTAACATTCAAAATAAAATTTCATTTTGTATCACAGGAAAAGTGATTCTAATTGTGTCAGGAAAGAAGACTGAGCTTTTACCTTTCATAGAAACATAAGTGATTCTGCTTTCATTTTTGTAGGGTAAGTGTTCGGTTTTCACTCCAGCAGGGGGCAGCTTAGGCTTCTGGCCTAGTCTGTCAATAGCAGGTTTCACTAGATGTTAAATGCAGAGGATACTTTCCTTGGTTACTGCGATCTCCAGGTGACGCTGAAGTTTTAACAACTGCACATGAATACAAAGCTGTAGCAACTATAAGAAATAATATTGACTAGGAAGGAAGTTGGCTTCCTGGAGCTGGTTCAAAAACAGGTCCTACACAGAAAGAGTCCTTTATTCCTTTTCGGTTTTAATACGGTGCTTCAAAATTTCATTTCAACTCTCTCCATGGATTTTGCTTTACCCTGTAATCAAATGTTCTGGAGTCCAGTGGTTTACCAGTATTTATTAAGAAAAAAAGGTTTCCTTCAAATCATGTTGAAATAGCGACAGAGTCATGGACACATCCATATAACGTCCTTGCTAATACTAAATAGATGATATTGATGGAAGGATCTTGCATCAAAGGATCTAGTAGGATTCTTCTAGGGATCGTTTTTTTTTAAAGGATCAGAGAACATTCTGTGTGGTTCAGTCATCAATCTGGCCTGTGCTGGACATCATGCTTGGAGGCATGGAGTAGACACACCTTTGGAGCACATGATTGGTGGCAAAATGCCATCGCAGCTCAAATGGAATCAAATAGAATTGCATGAGCATTGGAAACAATAGCTGCATTCAACCTTTTCAGAGAATTTGCCTTCAACTGTAAACACTTCTGTACCCTCCATACTACTAGCACTTTCTCATGTAATTTACTTTAGCAGTAGAATTTGACTATCACGAGAGAATGACTGAACTACCCAAGCCCATAATCCTATTTTTTTAAAAATAATTTTAGACGGAAGCTAATTTATTGCAGTGAAATCACATTGGCTTTAATATAAATACTTTTGCTTTTGTAGGGTGTCTACATATGAGCCTCATTACTCATATGCAAATCAAACACTCTCAACCTGTTTTACATACTGCTGCATTTTGGAAGATTCTCAAGTGTAAATGAAAAACAAGTTCTTATTTAGGGAATTTATCTCTCCTTGCCTTCATTTGAGAGCCAGTTTGCTACTGTGGTTAGGGCATCAGGCTAGAACCCAGGGAGAGTGAGAAGTCTAGTCCCACCTTGGGCGCATAGCCAACTGGGTGATCTTGGGATAGTTAGTTTCTCTCAGCCCCAAAAGGCAATGGCAAACTTTACTGAAACAACCTTGTCAAGAAACTGGAGTGGACAGGCTTCATTTTAATACAGTATGTTTATAGTGACAATTTAAAAAATGTCTTCTAAAACAGGAACTAGAAATAGGAAAATATACCTGCATTTAAAGTACATCCCAAAATGATCGAACCCTGAGAATTCCTGAAAAAGCCACTGGTATTATTACATTACCCCCCCCCTTAATTCATTTGCTTACTTACTGTCTTTCATACAGTACCGAATAAGATGATTTAACCTATCTGGGATAAAGAGAATTTCAATCTAAAAAAGAAGCCATCTCACACTTTCGCCTTGCTATACAATAAGCCACATGATCATTTGTGATCATTCAAATTTATATAAGCATGGAACATGGATGTTTGGATGTTTTGGGAGCCAAGCTATTTTTTTATATGCCATCAGTCATTGTCAACTCTTAGTACCTTCACAACATTTCTCCATGACTACCTGTCTCTAATTTGGTCTTTCACATCTTCCAATAATCCACACATTGCCACTGGAGGTTAATTCTGTGAATGCAGTTAAGTTGCATTGCCTTGGATGGGGGATAGGAATATGTAATCTTCAGACATTTTAAAGCCCCTTCTCCCCCTGAATCTGTTTTCTAATGCTGGTTCTGAACACGAAGGGCAGATTTCATGGGCACTTTGCTTCCCATCTAGCACTAAGGCTGTTCAATTTTTCTGCCACAATTATCATTACCTCAGATTTGGCCTTCTGGCTTAGCTCTGTGACTATTTCAGATTTCTGTTCTCTAAATTTAATGAGTGTTTGGCAATTCAAGTATCTCCTAATTGCATAAAGACCATAAAGAAAAGAAAAGTAAAGAAAGGTCCTTTGCAATCATGATTTAATTTTTTTTTTTTTGCTTTAGACTCAGCTTTCCTTTATGAAAGTCGTTTGGAGCAAACCTTTGTTTGTTGTGAAATAGACCAGGAGTCTCTAAGCCGGGTGGAGTTGCAGTCCATCAGGCTTAAGGTTGCCAAGATTGGAGACTCCTGAAATAGACTCTCTCTTGGAGGACTTTCCATTTGGTCCCCCTCTGTTCTGTGCCTTTTACAGTAGCTAAAGAATAAATTTCACTAAATAAATAGTATCATCTTTCTTGCTGGGTTCATATACTATATTCTAAGCCAGATAGTACTCTAGTTTTGGCACAATTGTGTTGTGTGAACCCAACTGTGCCCCTCGGAAAACTTCTAAAGTGAAAGTCTGTAAGTCAAAAAATTGTTGAGGTTGAATTGCCAAAGTTGTTTATGTTTGCATTGAGTCAGCTGGCAACAATACTCACCGTGAGCTAATTGTAGCAGGCCATCCTGTAACTATCTATCTTTTCTTTCCAGAATGGGCACTTCTTAGCCCTCCCTGTTATCTTCCTCTATGTACAGTATAGCTTTTGCTTTTCGTCCCCTCCTAATTGCACAGCAATCTCTGGTTTCCCAGGCTACTTTAATGTCTCCTTAGTGCTGCTCTCAGTGGCTAGGATTGTCAATTGCTGCTTCTCTGATGGGCTCCTATAGCTTTAACCACATGCAGTTGCAAGACATTAAATAACTGAATGTTTTCTATCACAGCCATGCTCTCTTGTATCTACTGAACTTTTGCCTGTTGTAATTTAGGTAAGAGCCAGAAGCCTTCCCAGAGCTTAGGTGGCTGTCATATGGCTATAGATCTGCCCATATTCAGAATCCTGGAAGATAAAAGCATCTGTTTCCCAAATGAAATATTGTAAATACATAAGGAGCTCCTTTCTTTTTTCTTTTTGCCCTACCTAGTGACTGTAATAAGTTGCATTGACAGTTCTTCAATATTAAAGAATTGTGACAACACTCAAGATATAAAAGTACAGGATATAATTCTGTGTGTATATGTATGTATGTGTGTGAACTGAAAGAGGAAACAGTACAACATTATGGATAAAAAGCTAAGTAAATACATACAGTTTAACTGTTTAAACTTTCGAGGTTTATCACTATACTATACCGCAAAGTCTTCACATATAATTTACAAATGAGATAATTAATACAGAGTGGAAGGATGAAGATTTTACACGTAGTAATTATATATATTTAAATTAAAAGATAAAGGATATCATAGTTAAAAGTCTAAGACCAAGGGACCCTAATTATTACAAAATAAATTTTGTTATAGAAGTTGGTTTAAATTTGGCATTCTAATACCATGACCAGAATAATGTGAATAATCAAGTAACAATTAGGTCATGTGGTTTCCAGCTGCCCTCAAAGAATCTTAGAGGAAATATTGAAGCTTTCCCCAAATCATAACAGAAGAAAATGTATTTAAAAACATTAGCATATATACGTATTATAGGGACTATTCTTTATCATACTCTGTGTTTAAAGCTTAATTTATGCTGCAAAAAAGAATAAAATAGTCAAGTAACATTTAGCAAGTAAGGAGCTTAGAAGAATTCAGCTGGAAAAGGATTTCCTTATTTTTGTAATTTTTGTAATGTTTTCCATATGTTGTCCATCTCCTCTTGCATAAACCACTTTGTCTTTTAATAGAAAATCCTTTTCTCATACCTACTTTTCATAGAAGTTTCTTTTCTGACATTGTTGTTTCTTCTTTAAGGGGATGTGAGCAGATATCCAGCTTTATTGTCAACTCGCCACGCCCGAGGAACTTTGTGATTGTAGGATATCGGTGTCTTTCCTTTAAGGCTTTGGCCGGTGGGAAAACCGGTTTTACTCAGGCTAGGACCTCATAGCTATTAGCAACTATCATCCCACTCATTGCATCAGTTATACTTTTACCAGTTTATTCTTGCATATTTGTCACAGGTGCATCTTGAATACCACTTATAATAAGAGAGCAATGTTCTCTCTCTTCATATAATTTTAATAAAGATTTCTTAAGGACCATCTCCTCTGTATGGCACTCACATAGTTGTTTAGAAACCATTTTCCAAATTCCTAATATAAAAGAGTTGATAACAGAGCAAAAGTTTCACTTAAAATACAATTGAATTTCCCGTTAAGGATGCATATGCCCCAGATTTGTTCCAGTTATTGTGAGGACAAGAGTAATTTAATTTCTAAAGTCTGACCACACTTATTTTATTTATCATTTTCAATAATTATGATGAAATGATTTGATCTAAACTATAATTGGAGTGATGCCGCTGCCATTCTTGAGGCAAGTGACAGATTTAAGATGATTTTCACAACATAGCAATGTCTTAGCAAGTTAATCGAAAGTGTTCTATTTAAACAATCTTATTATCGCATGTAATATGTCTGAAAATACAATATTTATTTTGAAGATTTAAGGAGGAACACACATTAGCATTTGTCTAAAGCAGGGATCGCCAAATTCCTCAACCCATTGACCCTCTTCTGAAGTTTCAGATTGTTCATCAACCCCCAAACATTTATTATATGAAAATAATTTCATAAATGCAACTTTAGTCATATGAATGAAAGCAACAATGATACATTGGATAGTCCCTTTGACCCTTGAGGGTTGATATTGACCATTTTTGGCGAGGCCCAGTCAAGGATATTCTCTTCTTTAACAAATGTGCCTTTAGATGTGACTCCAGTAAATAGAACAAATTAATTTTATTTATTTAGTCCATATGCCACCTACCTTGTTTCAAAATTGCATATTGCCAAATACAGTGTAGTATGGGTCTTATTATACCTTATTATAGGTAAATAAGGTATAGATCTATAATAGCTATACTAGATAGGCT